GTGTGCTGGCTTGTCGGGTGTGGAGCTTGTTCTCCCTGCTCCCTTGGGCTGAGATCTGGCAGGGGGAAGAGGCGATGTCAAACCTTACTTTCGTGTGCACATACAGTGCCTGCTGCCTTCCCCTCGTGAGTGTACCTGTGTGTGTGTTCTCGCCGCGTGTTCCTTTCCTGCAGAGTAGCATTGCATGTGCCTGTCCGCCTGTCCCCTCCGCTGAGGCGCGCTTGTCTGTGCTCCTGCAGGGCCGCGAGGCGATGGAGTGGGTCATCAGGCGGCTGAACTCCGAGATCGAGGAGCTGGCGGCGACGGCCCGCAACACCATCCGGACTCCCATGGCTGCTGCCGCCGTTACTGAGAAATGACCCCTGAGCCCGGGCCCTTACCAAGGGGCGCATCCTCCTCTCGCCAGCACGGCCTCCCTCTGTGTCGCCGCAGACTAATTTATTGTGTGTTCACGCCGACGGGGATCTCCGATCGCCTCTCTGTCCCTCCTGCGCTCGAGGGCACTCTTGATCCAGTGTGATCCAGCCAGGTGTGACACAAAGGGAGGCTGTGGAAACGTATTTATTGCTTGGGCGGGCAGCCTAAGACTCTGGATTTGGTGCCGGTCCTGCGAAATCTGGCTCGTTCGTTATTCTTTTTTGTTCCTTTAGGTCAAAACTCTATAAAGGTTTGTGGGGAAGCTGGGGTCCCAGGGGGGGGGGGGCACAGGTACTTTCCTGACGGCGCCGGTTCAGACTGAGCTGGGCTGTGACCATCCTGCCACCCCCCAGCAAGAAGGTTTTGTGAACTGGACCTCCTGCAGCTTGTCCGTGGTGCTGTCCGGGTCCAGAAAGAGAGGGATTTGGACTGCTGGGACCCGGCGGTTCTGGGTCAGAGGCAGTGGCGAATGCCGTCTCAGCCCTGGGCTAGAGGGGTGGGGAGGAGAGAAGGGATTGGGAATGCAAACAAAAACTACAGACCAGGTCTGCTGTCAAGGGTGAAGGATATTTATTTATTTTATTTGTAGAGGTAGCGATTTAGCACTTGTAAAGATTCTATTTATTTGAGCCACGTTCTCGCAGCTGACTGCTCCTCATCCAGAGTCCT